AAGTTAGCAAAGGTTTTACAGGGTGCACTAACGATTCCAAGCATTTTAAACAGTTTTTGAACATTTTAAGACACTTTAAAAATAGCGAAAACGGACCTGTCAAAACTATTGAAATGCATTGAAACCGATTCAGTGCATTCCAATGGGGGAACCATGTTTCGCTTAGCGATGTTTCCTATGGCAATTTTCGCTTAAGGACGGTAATCCGTTCCCATTGGAACGGATTATCCGGTTTTCAATGCATTCCTATGGGAAATGGTGTTTCGCTTAGCGATGTTTTCCCATAGTGATGTTTTTTTGGAACCAATTAACATCGCTAAGCAAGGCACCACTGTACAGTGTAACTCCTATTAAAATCTTTACCATCCTTATTTTAGTACTGTGTCATAGATACTCAGGGCTTGTTCAGTAGGAAAAGGAAACTGTTATATAAACAATAGAAATATCCACTTGAATTTGTTATAGAAAACACAGAGCAGTCATGCCTGAAAGTTAATTCAAAATATCATTTCTTTTTTGTTTGAAGTATATATACCTAACAGAATTATTTCCCCCTTACTTTTAGCTGCCAAAATGGTATATTATTTGGATCCTGCTAGCCAGAAAAGAGCTGTGGAACTGGCAACTTGCCTTGATGAGTCCCTCACAAACAGAAATCTTCAGGTGAATTTGTCTGACATATAGAATTATTTATTCCCTTATCACCTGGTACTGCTTTTCCACATAAGATACTAGTCTTGTTTGCTAAGAAGCTCTGAAATTAATGGAACTGTAACAGTCGGTCTTTGTAGCGAATAGAAAGAAATCACAATTTTATAATATTCTATAGTCTGTGCCTATAGCATTTTGTTCCTTTGGCTATAAAAGCATGTGAAATATATATTCAAAATATAGAAACATTACTAAAGATAACATGAATTGTAGAAACACAGAAATCTTTTAAGAAGAGTAACACTCTTTTTTCTCTCCCTTCAGACTTGTATGGAGGTATTGGAAGCATTGGACGACGGTAGCCTTGGGAACTGTAAAGAAGCAGCTGAAATGTATAGAGCAAATTGTCATAAGCTTTTCCCTTTTGCTTTGGCTTTTATGCCCCCTGGATATGAAGAAGATATGAAGATTACAGTTAATGGAGATATATCTGCAGAAACTGAAGAACTGGCCAACGAAATATGAACTTTTTAAAAGGAGTGGAATGGTTTTGGACTGTACCTGGTGTATAATATTTTTGTCACGCACCTGCTGAATTGTTCTAGCGTACACAGAGAACAGAAGGAGTAAAAATGGTTGCCTTCAAAGTTTTACTTTTTTTATCCTGCTGACAAAGTATATAATATAAAGTAACGTATTACTGGATATAGGTGGCTCAGTTAAAGAAAAACTAAGCACTGCTAAAATTGAAAACTATTCCTTATCTACATGCCCCATTTTTAAACTAATTTATATGGAATCTGAAGGCTTAATGCCCATTGGAGCAGGTGTGTGGCAGAAATATTACTTTAAATTTGTCTTGTTGAGATGACTATCTCAGACAGCAAAAATGCTGTTTTAGCACTGGATCCTTTTCACTGAGCACAAAGAGTTGTTGGGGCTTTAGCATCTGACTGATTTTTGATACAGAGATGATTCTCCCTTTGGAAGTATGCAATGTGAATCACTATTTGCAAACAAACCTGCAACACATATGTTGTAGAGACGGGGATTTAGAATATGAAGCAAAATAACGAAACATAAGGCGTTCAGTAAGCTTGTTGTGTCTCTGAAATTCACTGCACATGATCAGTTTGGTGTTCTTGCACCACAGTTTTTAAATGAAGGACCTGGTTAGAACATTGTTTGTTTTCACTATAATTCGGGGGGAAAGATCAACACTGCTGTCTAGGAGATGAAGATGACAGTATAGTTTGGATAGATCTTTTAAAACTGTAATGCAAGAACCAAATGAAATTATGCACTGTGATGTGACATCAACTCATTACAAAGACAAAATGTAGTTTTCACACACAGTGAAAATACAAATGAACATAACTATGGCTCGAAATTTCAAAGAGGAACTCCTGGCTATCAATTGGTGACTGATTGAGAGACTAATTGCTAAAACCTCAGCAGGCCTTGTTTATGTTATGCAGAAAAAAGTGCTGCAGTTTAGATACCTCTGGAACTTTTCCACAGTGTCACAGGTTTGTAATACTTGAAGCCCTACATTTCTAAGAATATATTTCTTGCTCAGTTGTTTCAAGCAAGCCCATGACTTTGTAACTTTTAACGGGCCCAAGATTTTTTTTCAATAACAGACCAGCTTCTTATTCCTGCAGTTACAGATGTAATTTCCTTTGTCAAACATAAGGTACCAAATATAATGCAATAAAATGTTTTGAAAAAGAGTTGTGTGACTGTAAAATCTGAAAACTGATGTTAGAAGGGATTTACTTGTTCAAAAAATCTCTAATTTATCAATGTGGGATATTATGTACCCACAATTCAAAAAGCCAGGAAATGGCCCAGTGTTGCCAGCAGCAAAAAAGGATGTCAAGTTTTACATAGCAAAGGGCAGCCTGAATGTTGACTACATCAGTGCCAGTAGTCAAGATTGCCTATAGCAGCAGTGGCAAACCTATGGCATGGGTGCTACAGCTGGCACACACAGCCCTCTCCATGGGCACCTGAGCCATAAGTTGCTGGATCACTACCCCTGGCAGCCAAACCTGAGGAGGCAGCTGCAGCCGTGGTGCTGGCACCCCAACAGGTGATGGGCCAGCATCCAGAGCAGCTGGCAGCAGCCGGCTGGCCGAGCTACAGGCAGTGGCGGGGTTGGGCACGACTGGCGGTGGATCTGAAGTGGGGTCTGGATGCACCTGTGCACCTGGGATTCCTCCTTCTGCTGCCTGCTGGTTTTTTGGTTATTGTTCCCCCCCCCCAAGTCTGGGCAATTGGGCTCAAAATAGTCTATAGGATCACTGGCCTATAGGATTCCGTCTTCTGCTTACTACCATTCGCAAAGTGACACTATACAAGGGAATATCCCAGAAGCTGATTCGTTTTTTCATCAGTTAAGCACTTCTTATCCAAATAAAAAGCAACTGCTAGGGCTGTTTTTCAACAAGTCTGAATAATAGTGAGTACAAAAGAGTGTCCTGTATCATCTTGACTGCTGCCATTGGTGGTGTCAATATTCAAGCTGCCTTTTGCTATGTAAAAGCTTGGCATCTTTTTTCCTGCTGTCAATGCAGGCATGATATGGACTTTATCCATCTGGAAATATTAACATTGTTACTGTTTGCTAGTGTTCCCCCCCTTAATTTTGCCATATTATCCAGAAAGCCACAAAAGTGTTCTTTAGAGTTATGAACCACACTGAAATGCCCTATAACATTTCTCATGAAAAACTACAGTACTATTAGTAGAAATGTACGGGTTATGTGGATGGCTAATTTGGGTCAATATATTCCTCCAGTGACAGCTGATAATCTAAACCTAGCCAGATGCTGAGATTCTATAACAGATCACTCTCAGATTGACTTAATATCCTTTGTAGCTGGGATTATATGGAAGTTTTGTGGGTTATTTCCCCATTTACCTCAGGTAAAAGAATGTATAGTGTATACCAAAATGTAGGAAGGAAAAAAATACTACATTGGTGTGAGATACTAGCTTAGATGGTTTTAAGATTACGTACTAATAACACAACGCAAAACCTTTAGCTTCAGAGGTGGTACACACCTATGTGTTGGTTGGCAGCAATAAAAGTGATTTGTTCCTTTTGTGTTCAGTTTGTAGACTGCTACCAAGCATCTGGGTGGCCACTGCAGGAAGCAGAATGTTGGCCTAGGTGGAACTTTGGTCTGAATGGGAGATACAGCCTGTTGTAAAATTCCGTTACACATTAACAAAACTAATAGTCTTGCAGATTACACATTTGCCTTTGGGCAGGAACGTATAGCTTTTCTACTTTCCTGTCACTTGTGCTGCAACCAGAGCAGCTGGTCCCTCTTCCCAACATACTATTTGCCTTGATATTAAGCCCTACTACATCCAGTCAAATTTTATTAGCACTCTGGAGTCGTCATGTTCAAACCATGACACAGTAGCTGACATCCTATTGCTTTGCGCAGAAGTTGCAGTAGAATATGCCCATTGAATCAGCAGGGCCTTTGTAAATAAACTATGTTCGTGATTCAAATAGTGAATTACTCTAGTGCAACTACACGAAGCAACAGAATTTCAGCCAACAGGCACCAGAATTACAGGTCCCTATCTGAAGCATTGGGACACCTGCTGTTACAGGTTTAGTGAGGATGTAAGGTGGTGTAATTCTGTTTCGAGAGGAAATTACCTTTCCGCGTGCATTGAGGAACCTAGAGGAGATTGTTTTATGTTTGCTAATTTTGCATGATTATTTTGCTCCCCGTAAGAAGACAGCAATGCGGGATGTTTACTCAGTGTTTTGCTTTCCGAAATCAAAAGGGGAAGAATGAGAACTCCAGATGGCCTGGTGACGTTGGCTTGTGTTTCCTTGTAGGGCAAACTGAGATTCTGTAGTATCAAGTGGGGAGAGCGGCGAATTATGCAGCCGCTTTTCCACCCCATTATTTCTCAGCCCTCTGTTGTGTCCAAGCTGCCCCTCTTGCGTTCAAACAAAATCTCAGCGGAGAAAGGTTTGTGGCAGTAATTCTCCCGCTTCTCGCGAGCTTCGCCTGAACTCCCCTTCCGTCGATGGCCGGCCTTCCCCTTCACAGAGCCGGTCGTGCCAGTGAAGGCGCGGGACAGACCCCCCCACCCCTATCCAGGCTCCCTCACGCACGCCGACCCACAGCGCTCGAACGCTCCCGTCAGGGAGCGAGCTAATCACCTCGGCCTTCAAGGGAACCAACGGCACCGAGGGCGCACGCGCGTGCAACCCCCCTCATGGCCGGCGGCGTCTGCGCGTGCGCACCATCGCGCTAGAGCGGCCGCAAATCCCTCCGCCCGGGTGGGCCCGACGTGCAGAACTGATTCGTCGACCAAGGCCCGGGGGTGGGGGTGGGGGTCAGGCCCTGCTTAGGGCCCGGAAATGGCGGCTGAGATCGAATCGTCGCTGGAGCTGAGCTTCTCGAGTAGCGGGCCCGGGTCGCTGCCTCCCCCGCGCTCCCGTATCTTCAAGATCATCGTCATTGGGGATTCGAACGTGGGGAAGACGTGCCTGACGTACCGCTTCTGCGCCGGCCGCTTCCCGGAGCGCACCGAAGCCACCATCGGGGTGGATTTCCGCGAGCGCGCAGTCGACATCTACGGGGAGCGAATCAAGGTGCGAAAAGGCTAGGCCGCCTCTGGAGCCTCCGTCCCCTGAGGGCGTGGGCTCCGCGCCTCGGACCGTCGCCCTTCGGCTCTCAGCCGGGAGGCTTCCGTTCCTTTCCTGTCGTCCGTTGACTGACGAGAACGGGCACCCCCTTCTCCTTTTAGCTGACGGGCAGAAGGGTTGTGGGTTGAACGTGTCCTGGTTTTGCCCCATCCCTCATCCTTTTTTGCCTTTGCAACAGTCCCGGGAATGAAAAGTTGGTGCGGGTTTGCCTACCTTAGCAAAGAGTTGATGGTACAGCTGTGTATGTGGGGGTGGGTCGGTCTCGTCAGTATATGCCACCACCGTGTTTAAGGTATAAATAAAGCACCTCTAAATATATGTTCCAGCTTTAGGCAGATTGGAGACCCACGCTATCCTCTCTTTTTATCCCCGCACTTGTTAAATCGTGATGCTTGAATTTCATATGTAAGGTGCAAGAATGATGATGATTTTGAAAGTGAAGTTGCTCTTCACAAAGCATGTGGATGATCTTATGGACACAGTGAGGTTGCTGGTAATTAGAGTTTCTGCTTTGATCCTGAGGTGTGCACACATTTTATACAATGACACTGATTGCACCTGAGTTCTGTGAGCCCCAGGATCAAAGCAGGGACTCCATTACAAGCACTTTCCCTGTCCAGGTAATGTCGTCTCCCTTGTACTAATCTAATTTCTGTAACAGAAGTTTTGTCATTTAATATAGTCCTTTTATTAAAATACAATGAATAGAGAGCTGTTCAGACAAAATTCTGAATCATTGGTGTTAATTATAAATTGTCTCTTCAGAAATCTTCCTAAAAGTTCCTTATGAAGTTTTTAAAAATGTAGTTCTAGAAGATTGGTATTTTGTTGAAACTTGAATCAAATTTGGGTTCTTTCTTTCTCCATAGATCCAGCTCTGGGATACAGCGGGGCAGGAACGATTCAGAAAGAGCATGGTGCAGCATTATTACAGGAATGTACATGCAGTTGTATTTGTATATGATATGACCAACCTTGCCAGTTTTCACAATTTACCATTGTGGATTGAGGAGTGCAAACAACACTTACTCACAAATGATATACCCCGAATTTTGGTTGGAAACAAGTGTGATCTCAGAAGTGCAATACAGGTGCCTACGGACGTAGCTCAGAAGTTTGCCGACACACATAGTATGCCATTGTTTGAAACTTCTGCCAAAAATCCTGATGACAATGATCATGTGGAAGCTATATTTATGACACTGGCTCATAAGCTCAAGAGCCATAAGCCACTCATGCTTAGTCAGCCATCTGACAACACTGTTCACCTAGAACCTGCATCAAAACCTGTCATGACATGTTGGTGCTAGCTCACAGTATTTTTTCAGTCATCACTTCAATCTGTGTACCAGTATTTTGAGAATGTGATGTTGATAAAGTTCCAGTTTAGTAGGAATTATTTGGGATCTGCTGGGCACTTTATTGTTTGTCCTCATGTATTGATGTGTTCCAATGTTATAGTTGCACTTTGTAAACTGTAGCATCTGAATTAATGAAGGTTAACAGGGAATTGCATTTTCATATGAAGATTGACATCTCACTAAGTATAGCTTATGGGGAGGGGTGTTCTCCATGAAACAAAGATAAATATGTATGTTACATTAAATCACTGATGCCTTTAGTGTTCAGTTGGACAAGACTACAATTCTGTAGAAATCCAAAGAGTTATATGAGTAATTATAATGTAAGTTATTAGTCTATGTCCAATTGGTGTTGTGAAATATACACTTCTGTTTCATGTTTTAATCAGTACAATGAGAGAAGGATTCAGCATCAGTGCTTGTGTTGGAACATCTCTTCCTTTCATTTTTTTATTCGTTCTTAATGCTGTAGCTTCATTAATTGCAAAACAAAGTGATAATTCTCATGGCATTTTTTTTCTACCTGAAGTTCTTTTTTTATTCCTTATTAGCATATTTTCATAGCTTTGCACTGCATAAATGGAGAACAAGGGATGGGAAATTATGAAAATAGTTCACAAGACATGTATCTAGGATTATTATGACTTTTTTTCTTTTACCCAGTCGTGTTACTTTCTGCAAGATATAAGAACATCATATGAATCTAATGTATCATTGGAAATGGTACTGAAAATCATTGCTATATTTGATTCATATTTCTGCTGTAACCGCAGTGATAGTGTCCACATAGTGGTGATATTGATCTGGAGATACCGTGATCAGTAGGACTGCCAGATCTTGTCATCTGTACCTTTAAAAGCTTCAGGGAGGCTCTGGCCATGTACATTACGACAAAACTACATTACGACGCAAGTGCGATCGCAAAACAATGGTCTGAATAGGGGTTTTTCGCTGATCGGCAGTTTCAAAATGGCCGCCGGGTAAATAAAATGGCTCCCCACTGTTTTCTGGGACGGATTCCTCACTGCACAGGCACCGAAAATGGCCGCTCTATGGAGGATCTTCGCTGGACGATGAGTTTCCAGCCCATTGGAATGCATTGAAGGGGTTTCCATGCCTTTCAATGGGCTTTTTATTTTCGCATTACGACGTTTTTGTTCTACAGTGATTTCGCTGGAATGAATTAACATCGTAATGCGAGGTACCACTGTAGCTCCTGTTTCTCTTCTCTGCTAAGCCTTTGGTGCCCTTTCGTTCTACAGCAATTTCGCTGGAATGAATTAACATTGTAATGCGAGGCACCACTGTAGCTCCTGTTTCTCTGCTAAGCCTTTGGTGCTCCTGCTTTTCTGACTCCTGTGAGACAAAACTTGAGGTTAGGAAGCTGTGCAGAAAGTAAAGTAATAACTACTTTCCTTGTTGCATTGGAGCATTTAAAGATGCTGGCCAGAATTCATTAGGGTGCTTCTTCTGATGTAACTGATCTTGTTAGTGGAACTGGATCCCCGCAATATTTCCATACGTGTTCTACAGAACTGCTCCAGAATACTAGAAATCCTCTCCTTTTAGGCACCTTTGAGGGTTACAGCAAGAAGAGATAACGTAAAAGGAAGATATTTCTATAGTGCTAGTTGAGCATTTGTCCAGGGTTGTATTTTGGTGCTGTGCACATTCTAAAGACAGATATCAGCCTATGTAATTTGGGTTCTTAACATTTTGATGTAGTTTGTGATGTCTTTCTAGGTTTCAGGTAGTGATAGTGATATAGCTGGCCAAAACACGAAACTTGTTTCCAAACATGTTTAAAGTCACAGTGGATAAAAGTGTGAGGATTAAGGTTTTAGGAATAATTCCTATTAAATCATCAGTGGACTGTAAATACAGACCCCTCCAAACAGCACCAAAAAACAACTGCTGGCTCTGCTTGACCTGTTCTGCTTTCAAAACAGCCTGTAACAGGAATAGTTAACTTCAGTGTAGGTAAGAAAATTACTATGTATGTGCCTTAGCTGTTAAAATATAGAAGACAACATCCTGTATCCTTTATCATCAAACAGCATTAAAAACATAAATAAGGGCAGCTGTCTTCTGTAATTAAACTTAGTAGCAAGTTTCTATAAATAGTTGAAGGGTCTCATATTTGTTCACAATACTGGCTGCTGCTTCATTGTTTTGGATTGAACTCATAACAACATAATGGAGCTCTAGAGTTTCATGTACTGTACTAAATATGATAATTATCACAGTTTTTAAAAAATGGTTTATATGATCTCTAATTAACTAGATCAATTACAGTAATTAAATCTGCATACATTTTACAAATAAAAGTCTGATTTTAGCTTATTTATTTACCCACTGCACTTGGCACCATCTTAGAATGGCATTCTCTTCTGCATGAATGAGAATTCATTTCATGTATGCTATAACTGCTTTTCTCTTCATAAGGGAAACCTTATGAAGATGCATGTCAGGAATGTATTTTCTAAGATGGCATCTGTTACCCAATGTTTTTGTAGATACTGTGAAAATCTGCTATCCATGTAACTGTAGGCATCTTAAATCAGTCAAATGGTTTTAATTACTGTGTTAGATATAGTCAATGAAGCACTGGTAACCTAAATATACATGAATTACTCAAGTCTTTGACCTAAAACTAATTGTTATTCCCAACCAGAATATACCTGCTAAATCAGAGGAATTTACATAAATCTTGAATTATAACATTGACCCAGGGAGTCTGTCCTAGTTGGGACTAACAGTTGGATTTAGACTGAGGTCTCAAATATTTGGTTTTATGTTAGTAAGAGATTCGGTAATCTTTCTAGTCCTTCTCCTTTAGGGAACAAATTCTTCACAGGTGTCCTAGATTTCACATTTTGTGGTAAATTACACCTAACTTGTTAGTTACATGAACATTGGAAATGAGCCATGGAGCACAATTTACCACTGGATTTTATTCAAAATAAATGGAATATCAGTCACATATGTCAACATTCTAGAAACTATGCTAATGTATTGCTTGTACTATATCTACCACGTACGTCTGTTGAAAAACTAAATTTGAGTGTCTTATCAAGCTTTTAACTTTTACCGTAATGTGATTGCAGTCATATTAATTTCAGAACAAATATTACCTGTATTTACCAAGTAACAGAAATTAGACATTACGTATTTTGTTGCAAATTGGTATCACAAAAAATACTAGCTTTTAAGGAAAGCATATATACTGCACCTTAAGTGAAAAAAAAATTCACAGTTCACTTGTATTATGGGCCAAATGCATGAGTAGATTGTGTTCAGGATTCTTAGAATGCCTTTTGTTGTGGAGTTTTTTCCTCACTGTTTTTTGGGGGATACCTTATCTGCCTTTTGTTGTGGAGTTTTTTCCTCACTTTTTTTTGGGGGGGGTACCTTATCACTCTCCTGCTAACCTAGCAGTTCGAAAGCATGTACAAATGCAAGTAGATAAATAGGTACCACCACGGTGGGAAGGTAATGGCATTCCGTGTCTAGTCGCGCTGGCCATGTGACCATGGAAACTGTCTGTGGGCAAACGTTGGCTCCATGGCTTGGAGACGGGGATGAGCACCGCCCCCTAGAGTCAGACACGACTGGACAAATTGTCAAGGGGAACCTTTACCTTACATTATCACTATAGTGTGATAGAATTTTCTTGTTTAGTTTTTATATAACACTTGAAAAAGGGATTTTAAATTCTGTTCTAAATACAAATTTTACTTTCGTTTACATACTTTCTAGGAACACACCTCTTTTTATGCCAAGTGTCTTCAAAGCTTTTTAACCAAGGAATGTTCCTAAATATGGTTTTTCAAATATGGTTTACACTCCTCTTTAGAGGATTCATCTGTTTACTTCATACTCTTAATCTATTTGAGAAAAGAACAGAGTTGAAAGCAAATATAATTAATGTGTGCCTGTAAACATTTTGTTGTCTCTCAAAGCAAGTACAGAAATGCAGGGTTTTATAATCACAATGGTTAAGAATTTGCAGAACTATAAGTAATTTATGTTCCGGATACAGAGTTGGTCAGCTCTTGATGGCAAGAACCTGTGAAATAATTATTCTTGGAACTAACCACATAATTATGCTGCCATATAGTATAAAAATTCAGCTTTGTAATGTTTTCAGCACCAATTAATTTGATAGCATTATTACATACAGAATACTATTACTTCAGAATGTGTCCGCGTTTAATGTTATATCTTTAATAATGATTTACTCCAGAAAGTTGACTTTGTTTTTTTGTCTGTTCAAAACAAAATGAAGGATTTTTGTATTTTTACCAGAATAATCACAGTATAACTTTTTCTTAAATTAATAAATACTACTAAATGAAATCTTTTTGTTTCTGTCTCAGATTTTCCAGTGTTTGACTGCTAGGTCACACAGACTAGGGATCTTAGGTTACATTGATTTATATCGACTTGACAGGGCTTCTGGGGGCTGAATTTATTTTGGTAATCCTGTTGAACATCATGATGATTACCGTATTTGCCGGTGTACAAGATGACTTTTTGGGCCCAAAAAAACATGCCTCCAAGTGGGGGGGTCGTCTTGTACACCAGGTGCACTTAATTTGGGCCAGGAAGGAGGTGCCGCCGCTGCCGCCGCCACTGAGTAAGTGACGCTGGGCCGTGCCGGCCAGAGAGGAAGGCAGGCGGGCAGGCAGGCGGTTGGTC